CATTTCTTGTTACGAACAAATTTGGGGATTTCCAGGGAATTTATAACAAGGCATTTGCAGGGAATTTGCGAGCAGTTTGTAGGAATTTTTGGGGACTTTGGAGGTATTTGCGAGAAGTTTGAGGAATTGTTTGCCAAAATTCAGAGGGGTGGTTTACTCCATAGAATTTTTTCACCTTGGAAGTAAAAAAATCTCAAAAACACTTTGAAGCTTGAACAGCTAAAAACTATTCAAGCTGCATTGAAATTATTCACTAAGAGTTGGTAGAGGATTTAATTGGTTTTATTTCAAACCTAATTACGTTAAGATCGGATTGAAATTATCAATGTTAGATCAAATGTGGTTCAATGTCATTTTGGAAAAAAATATCAAGCTTCAAAAAACGACATTGAAGGACGTTTTATTTTTTTTTGAGGAAAGTGTTTGAAGGATTGGCTTGAAATTTTGCAAGTGGACGAGAAAAAATCGAAATTTAGGAAAAAAAATAAATAAAAATTTGCTCACCTTGATAAAAATCAAAGTCGAAAAGCTTTAAAGCTTTGCAGCTGCGAAACTATTGAAGCTACATTGAAAATACCCGAAAGAGATTTATAGAGGATTTAATTGGCTTCATTTCAAGCCTAATTACGTTAAGATCAGATTGAAATTAACAAAGTTGTGAGGCAATACATATGTCAATGTCATTTTAGAAGAAATCAAGTTCCCGAAAAAATACATTGAGGGACGTATGTTTCAGGTATTGGATTGAAATTTGGCGAGTGGATAGAGAAAAGATTGAAATGTAGGAAAAAATAAAAGTTTCCTTCTGATGGCATGTTCATCTTCAAGGAGCAAGGAATTTGTGGGAAATTTAGAGGAATTTGTGAAGAGTTTTTAAAGGAATTTATGGGAAATTGGGAGAATGTATGGAAATTGGAGGAATTTATTCAGTGTTGCCAACTGCGGATCAACTATTATAGTATAGAACGCTACAAAATAAAAATACATTTGTACAAATAGTGCTAGTGGGACACACAGAGATCGATCGATCCAGGAGAAAATTATGACATTTTCTGGAAAAAAAGAAGAAAGTCAGGGGTGTACTAAAATTTCCAATTTATCCAGTGGAAAATTACCCCATCAGAAATTAATGAAAATCAACTAAATTAGACATAAATGCACCATCTAACATTTTATTTTTTTTCTGAAAAACTATTCAGGGGAAAATTATGAAATTTTCTGGAGAAATAGACGAAACTCAGGGGCGCATCATAGTAAAATTTCAAGTTTTTCCAATGGAAAATAAGCCCATTAAAAATGAATGAAAATCAACTAAATTAGGCATAAATGCATCATCTAACATTTTATTTTTTTCCTGAAAACCCATCTAGGGAAAAATTATGAAATTTTCTAAAAAAAAAAAGAGAAAAGTCAGGGGCGCATCATAATAAAATTTCAAATTTTTTCAGTGGAAATAACCCCGTTAGAAATTAATGAAAATCAACTAAATTAGACATAAATGCACCATCTAACATTTTATTTTTTTTCTGAAAAACTATTCAGGGGAAAATTATGACATTTTCTGGAAAAAAAGAAAAAAGTCAGGGGCGTATCATAGTAAAATTTCAAATTTTTCCAGTGGAAAATAACACCATTGGAAATTAATGAAAATCGATTAGATTAGGCATAAATGCACCATCTAACTTTTTTTTTTCTGGAAAACTATTCAGGGGAAAATTATGACATTTTCTGGAAAAAAAGAAAAAAGTCAGGGGCGTATTATAGTGAAATTTCAAATTTTTCTAGTGAAAAATAACCCCATTGGAAATTAATAAATATCAACTAATCAACTAAATTAGACATAAATGCACCATCTAACATTTTCTGGAAAACTATTCAAGGAAAAATTATGACATTTTCTGAAGAAAAAGAAGAAAATCAGGGGCGTATGATAGTGAAATTTCAAATTTTTTCAGTGGAAAATAATCTCATTGGAAATTAATGAAAATCAACTAAATTATAGGCATAAATGCAACATTTTATTTTTCTTCTGGAAAACTATTCAAGGGAAAATTATGACTCTTTCTGGAAAAAAAAAGGAAAATCAGGAACGTTTCATAATAAAATTTCTCCAGTGGAAATTATTGAAAATCAACTAAATTAGACATAAATGCACCATCTAACATTTTATTTTTTTTTTCTGGAAAACTATGTCATAATTTTACATTTTTTGGAAAAAAAGAAGAAAGTCAGGGGCGTATCATAGTGAAATTTCAAATTTTTCCAGTAGAAAATAACCTCATTATTGGAAATTATTGAAAATCAACTAAATTAGACATAAATGCACCATCTAATATTTTATTTTTTTTCTGGAAAACTATCCAAAGGAAAATTATGAAATTTTCTGGACAAAGCGAGAAAAGTCAGTGGCTTCTCATATTGAAATTTCAAGTTTTTCCAGTGAAAAATAACACCATTGGAAATTGATGAAAATCAACTAAATTAGTCATAAATGCACCATCTAACATTTAATTTTTTTTCTGGAAAACTATTCTTCAAGGAAAAATTATGACATTTTCTGGAAAAAAAGAAGAAAGTCAGGGGCGTATCATAGTAAAATTACAAATTTTTCCAGTGAAAATTAACCCCATTGGAAATTGAAGAAAATCAACTAAATTAGGCATAAATGCACCATCTAACATTTTATTTTTTTTCTGGAAAACTATCCAGAGAAAAATTATGACATTTTCTGGAAAAAAAGAAAAAAGTCAGGGGCGTATTATAGTGAAATTTCAAATTTTTCTAGTGAAAAATAACCCCATTGGAAATTAATGAATATCAACTAAATTAGACATAAATGCACCATCTAACATTTTCTGGAAAATTATTCAAGGAAAAATTATGACATTTTCTGGAGAAAAAGAAGAAAATCAGGGGCGTATTATAGTGAAATTTCAAATTTTTCTAGTGAAAAATAACCCCATTGGAAATTAATAAATATCAACTAATCAACTAAATTAGACATAAATGCACCATCTAACATTTTCTGGAAAACTATTCAAGGAAAAATTATGACATTTTCTGGAGGAAAAGAAGAAAATCAGGGGCGTATCATAGTGAAATTTCAAATTTTTCCAGTAGAAAATAACCTCATTATTGGAAATTATTGAAAATCAACTAAATTAGACATAAATGCACCATCTAATATTTTATTTTTTTTCTGGAAAACTATCCAAAGGAAAATTATGAAATTTTCTGGACAAAACGAGAAAAGTCAGTGACTTCTCATATTGAAATTTCAAGTTTTTCCAGTGAAAAATAACACCATTGGAAATTAATGAAAATCAACTAAATTAGGCATAAATGCACCATCTAACATTTAATTTTTTTTCTGGAAAACTATTCAAGGAAAAATTATGACATTTTCTGGAAAAAAAAGAAGAAAGCCAGGGGCGTATCATAGTAAAATTACAAATTTTTCCAGTGAAAATTAACCCCATTGGAAATTAAAGAAAATCAACTAAATTAGGCATAAATGCACCATCTAACATTTAATTTTTTTTCTGGAAAACTATTCAACGAAAAATTATGACATTTTCTGGTAAAAAAAAAGAAGAAAGTCAGGGGCGTATCATAGTAAAATTACAAATTTTTCCAGTGAAAATTAACCCCATTGGAAATTAAAGAAAATCAACTAAATTAGGCATAAATGCACCATCTAACATTTAATTTTTTTTTCTGGAAAACTATCCAGAGAAAAATTATGACATTTTTTGGAAAAAAAGAAAAAAGTCAGGGGCCTATTATAGTGAAATTTCAAATTTTTCTAGTGAAAAATAACTTCATTGGAAATTAATGAAAATTAGGGACGTAGGAATCATAGTAGAATTTCAAATTTTTCCAGTGGAAAATAACCTCATTGGAAATTAATGAAAATCAACTATTATAATTATAGTATTTTAGGCGTACTATAATAACCTTTGATAGTACATAGTACATAACCATTCAATTATAGTACAAATACTATAATTATAGTACGGTTGGCAACACTGAATTTATTGGTTTTAATACTGAGCGTAATAAAAATAGAAAAATACATTTCTTATAATTTGTGAGCAGTTAGGAGGAATTTGCAGGGAATTTGAAGAAATTTGTAGGGAATCTGGAGGAATTTGCGGGAAGTTTGAGGAATTGTTTGCACAAATTCGAGGGGTCGTTTACCCCTTGCAACTAACCCAACTAACCAGTCAGACAAAAATTCCCCGACATGGATGCCAAATGTAAGGAAGTTACTACTGCATTCCACCTCAGCTCTCCATTTCGCCTAGTAGGCATGTGTCAGATTATACAAGGACACCCTGTAAAAAAATTGTAAAATAACTTTCAGGAAAACCTACTGCCTTAATTTTTTTTTTGCAAGCTTCACCTTTACAGGTCGAATGTTGACAAAATCTAAGGATAATAATTTTAGAGTCAAATATATTGGAGAAAGCTGAACCAAACATAGATAAATTATACATTTTTGGAATCGGAAAACTGTGCTCTTCAAGATTATGAACATTCTATAAAATGGAAAAACAACTGTATACAAGATTCTACATTGCAAGATTCAATTTTTGTTTTTGACGATGAAATTTGTATTTACACCTTTCATGGCAGTGTCAATATATGGAAAAACACTCGTACCTATCCATACGGTATTTGCAAATTCGAGCTGGTTTTTCGTCCTAAGAATTTTACTCTCCTGTTGTCTCTTCCCTATAATCACCTTTGGTTTGACTCAAAAAAAAAATACTGTAACAAATTACTACCAACACTTTACTTTTTGCGCTGCTGCCAACCAAAAAAAAAAAAATTAAAACAAACATTTGCGCAGTTGGTAAGCTATGGCCACAAAAAAAAAAATTAAAAAATCAAATTATTAAAAGTGTTTTAATTATTACTCTTCATACACCGTTGTTAATATGATTTTTTTTTTGCTTAGAGAAAGCGTTCAAGCGTATTTATAAGTAGGGACTTACTGAGTATCGGTATTTCAGCGACACCTGAAAACAATTTTACATTTGAGAGTGGAGCTTTAAACCCATACAATATTTTACAAAAAAAAAAAATAAATAAAATAAGGCATCATAGCTTTCCAACAGCGAAATGCGTGAATGTTTAAGTTGATCGACAAAGCGTTAGTTGAGTGACATTAAGGCCAAGTTAAACAATCACAAAAAATAAAATGTGGAGTAAAGTCGTATAGAAATCCGCGTTCAATGGCAAAAATATAAAAAAGCGATAGTCTTTATAGGAACAACAATGTTGTGTAAATAGTTGAGGACAAAAAAAAATTAAGGATCTGAAAAGGGTATAGTCGAAATAATAAAGCGAATGATTAATAAAACAAATATCATGCATTTTCAAGCATTATTATTACAAATAGTAGCAGTGATAATACATACACCTCAGGATTAGAACAATACAGTACACAGTAATCGATATAATTTTTTTTATGGATTTCTAAAGGGTAACACTATAAAATATGTATATGGCAAAAAATGTGACCCACACCTCGGCAAAATAAAGCGTGATCAGCAGCCTAAAAGGCACTACATTATTGTAAGTCGAGTTCAAAGATGGCTGGCGGCTGATTACGCACACTTTTGATTACATTACATTTTTATAGCATTCAACGATCAGCTCAGATTTTAGAAAATAATACTATAAATGGAACATTTAGAAGCTCGGAAACAATTTAAGTACTACTAAAGCATGTTTTGAGTTTTGATGTAAAGTGTACTTTTGATTTATAACATTGGAATTGAAAAGAAGACAAATCTGGATGGCAAAACGGAAACTAGCATATAAAAGAATTCAGAATATATGTTTATACCGAGACAGCATTATTCAGCTAAATGAAAAGATGGCTATTGGAAAATAGAGAGCTATGATAACGATTCTCTATTCTTGGCATCCACATTGTCAGGGTGACAAAACAGGTCCCACTAAGATAGAAACCCCCCGACGTGAATGCGAAATGTTGGACTGCGTTTCACCTCAGCTCTATTTAGCCTAGTAAGCTGTCGGTTATCCATATAATTTCAATGGTTTATATTTTCCAAAACCATCAAACATCTGACCAATTAGTGGAAGAATTCCACAAAAACAATATAAATCTTGTTTCTTTTATATGTTGGCCACGTTATTGATGTGTTTGAATAGTTATTGGTTGAGTAGTGAAAGTTATGATGGGTCAATGCAAACCGCTCCAGTTTGAAAGTTTCAAGCATTTGAGAAACAAATGTGTTTATGTAATTTGTAAGCACACAGTATAAATACTATAAGCATGCGTTTATTGGTTTGCCAAAAGGAAGCGATCGAAGTAAATGAGATGCCCAAGCTGAGATCGTCGGATGCTACAAATTGTGTCCTTTTACCATTCAAATCAAAAACAAACAAACTCTACTTTTTAGCGATAATTAAAATCCTGTCTAAGTAACATTTAGTGGTAATCCTACTACTTAAAAATGCAAAGTCTTATTATTTTTTTTTAATTGTGATACGTCGTATTAACTTCTAAAAAGTATAGACAAATACTTATCATTTAATGATTCTTGTTTGAATACATGCATCACAATTTTACGTACATGTTTGTACTGGTATTTTTTTTTTTAATTAAATTTAAATGCTAACTAGTAAGACACATTTTTAATAATATTTAATTAAATGGTAATAATAATTACATCAAATACCACGTCTAAAACACTAGCCTAAAATATCTTACAAGTAAAAATGAACAAAAAAAAAAAACTACTTTGACCACAGAACAAATATTCAATCTATTTATAAAAAAAAAATCCAAATTAGTAGAATTCCATTAACAGTTAAGTCTAAAAAGGAACTTTTTGGAAATCTACATAAATATTTGCTCTAGGTCATAGAGCAGCTTTTTTTTTCTGATTAAAAAAACAAAAAACGAACAAAAATGAGACGATTGTGCATTGAGAGATCGAACTCAGGAAGACAAACAATTAAAATTAATAAAATTAACAACAGCCTTTGAGGCTAAAAATATTGAAAAAAGGTTACATCTAAAATAGGAACGAAATAGCCTTGTGTCTTGCCCGGTATTGACTTTTTTAGACAAACAAATGTAGAAACAAATCGGCCCAATCTATATGTATAAACCTAACCCAAAAAGATTACCCAGCAACGCGTATTGTGTGTATTTATTGCACATTGAAATTGCACTAAAATTTTGAATAATAAATAAAACACACAAAAACTATTTCTAAAGCGGAACAAACACACAAAAAGCAATCGAAATTATTTTATAATTTTTTAAAAATCTTTTTTCTGTTTCTGTAACAAATTAGTCCATGCATTGGTTGTTTTAGTTTGAAGCCCCATGCATTTCGGACCCAAAAGGCAGAGTTGTGATGGTCATAAAGTCAAATGATAATCTAAATATTTACTTATGAAGAGCGAATTTTAAAGTAGGTTGATTCCCTTTTTTTTTCTTAACTTTCTTGTATCTGCTTATTGCGTTTTTGGCCCATAAAATTTATAAAATTTCGTTTCTTGAATTCCTCAAAGATAGCCCAAGAAATTTATACCTTGGTGATTGGGGAGTGTGTCGTGAGTATTGAGCCAAAAAATCACACTCGAAAGCCTTGTGCGTTCGGCCCTATTGGCCTTTTTCCTATTTATTTATTTTTGGCAAAATGACCTCTAGAAAACTTGTAGATTCATTCTGATCAACTTTGCCTCATGACTTTTTTTGTTAGCTATTTTACTTTAGGCGCTGTGGCCATTTTAGTGCTTCAGAATTCGCAAAAAAATTAAATAGCAAACCTGCAGATTATTGTAACTTTATTTCTTTCGCTTGTTCAGCCTTTTAGGCATTTGAAAAATTTTATTTGACCTGGTGGACATTGTGGCATGCATAGGGTTTATAAGGATTTGACACATTTTGCAGGTAAAATGTGGCGTTTCGCGGACGGTTGCATAATAGCTATTTGTGTATTAAGAGCCCAAAGTGGTACTTTGCCGATCGAAAGATATTGTTGATATTGGCAAAAGCACACTTTATTTTTTTTACAATCGCATTTGATAAAAAATTGTTCAGGTTCAAAGAAACCAGTAGTAAAAGCAAGCGCTTTTACTACTTTGCCACTCTAGAGCGACAAAGTGAAGGATTTTGACGTAGTTTGAGCGGCAAAGTGGAGATCATCAGGAAACGTCTACTTGGCGAGCAGAAATCTAATCGACAAAGTCTACTTTCTAGGCCGATTGTAGAAAAAAAAAACATTTTGTCGCTTTTCAAACAGGTAACAGGTTCCAGTATTGTCAAAAAAAACCATCATTTCGATTTCACGCTTTCACTCCGTGAAAATAATTTCACCGGATTAGTGATGTAATGTATCATTTCTTGGACTGAAACCGAAAACGTAATGGAGTACATTACCAGTAATTTTATTAAAATTACAATAATCTGCAGGTTTGCTATTTAATTTTTTTGCGAATTCTGGAGCACTTAAATGGCCGCAACACTTAAACTAAAATAGCTAGCAAAAAAAGGCATGAGGCAAAGTTGATCAGAATATTATTATTTACAAGTTTTGTTGAGGTCATTTTGTCGAAAAAAAATAAATAAGAAAAGGGCCAATAGGGCCGAACGCACAAGGCTTTCGAGTGTGATTTTTTGGCTCAATACTCAGGACACAGTCTCCAATCAGCCCTGAAAAAATCAGCCTGCCCTCGCAAATTTTTTTGAAAAACACATAAATTTCTTGGGCTAAGAAGTTTTACTCAACAAAAAAGCTTTCAAATTACGATGAAAGTCAATAGATTTATTCATAGGAGACACGGCTGCAAAGGGAGCTCTTAGACTAAGCGAATCTAAACTGTGGAAGGAAACCGATTATGGACACTTGACAGGGTTACAGCCAAAATGATGGATCACCAAGAGTCCAAAACATTCCTCAAGGCAACGGACTACATAGTGATTAAATAATCTTTCGAGAAGAGGATAAAGATCACTATGCCTTCAAAAGAAGATTGGCATCAGATCCTTATACATTGGAAAAATGAGATAGCAATCTTCACAGATGCCGCAAAAACACGAGCCTGAGTATACGCAGAAATACCAAACATTTCAAGAGTCATAAACATTCAAGAATGATTGAAGCATTCTGTATGCCGAAATAATTGCAGCAAGGCTACTGCTAAGGGAGGACAATACGATAGGCAATGTCACCATAGATGTGGATAGCAACGCAGCGCTGAAACTGCTAAAATCAAATGTCTTGAGTCAGGAATATAAATGTTGGACTAAGCTGGGTTCCTGGACATAGTATAATATCGAAGGGAACGAAATGGAAGATAGATTGGCAAAACCAGGAATAAAAAGGACCAAGCTGAAACAGACGAGTCATCACAACCAACGACCAAGTTGTTGATGGGCATATGGTATAACATCAAGAGCTCTGTGGTCGTATAGAGAAAACCAGAAAATTATTAGAACTGGATAAGAGATCGATAAGTACCTCAGCATTCACAGAACACTGTCAAGTCGGAACAATGCTCTATAAGTGGGGCATCGAGACCGATGAACTATGTCAAGAATGATTTGAGGAGGATGAAACAATAGAGCAGCTACTATATTCCTGCAGAAAGAACGCCTACATCGCCTAGGAAAAAGTTTCCTGGAACACGCAGGAAAGATAAGGACAATGGAAATACTGAACTGAAAAAAGAAGGCATAGGGAATCACCCTGGAGAAGGGAGCACAATTGAAGTAGTTTGACGGAAGGCTATTGATTGACAGAAACTTGAAAATGCTTACCAAAGTAGAGAGAATAGCAGTACACCACAAGCGGCCTTAGTGATTATGCTGAATCTGCTGCCAATAGATTTATTCAAAAGAGGCACAGCTGCAAAATGAGCTCTTAGACTAAAAAAATACAAACTGTCAAAGGAAACCGATTATAGACTAAGAGGCCTAAACATTATTTAAGGTAACGGACATAGTGGCCAAATATTCTTTCGAGGACTGGATAAAGGTCGCTTTACCTTCAAGAGAAGATTGGCTATTGCTAAAACAGGACAATGCGATGGACAATGTCACCATATGTGTGGATAGCAAAGCAGCATTGAGACTGTAAGAATCACATACAGTGAAATCAAAAATAGTGATGAGCCGGTGAGAAGCGCTGTCCTGGATCAGGAACAGTAATGTCGAACTAAGCTGGGTTCCTGAACATAGTAGTATGAAATGGAACGAAATAACAGATAGAGTGGTAAAACTGGGAATGAAAAAGAACCAAGCTGCAACAGACAACTCTCACAACCAACAAACTGTTGATGGATGATTGTGTAACATCACGGCTTTATGGTCGTATGTGAATATAGAGAAACCAGAAAATTATTAAAACTGGATGACAAATCGATAAGTATCTCAGTAGGAGCATTCACAGGACACTGTCAAGTCGGAACAATGTTCTATAAGTGGGGCCTCGAGACCGATGAACTATGTCAAGAATGATTTGAGGAGGAGGATGAAACAATAGAGCACCTACTATGTCCTTACAGAAAAAATGCCTACATCACCTAGGGAAAAGTTTCCTGAAACACGCAGGAAAGATAAGGACTCCGGAGAAGGGAGCACAATTGGCTTCCGAGTGCAAGTAGTTTGATGGAAGGCTATTGATTGACAGAAACTTGAGCTTGAAAATGCTTACAAAAGTACAGAGAATAGCAGTATACCACAAGCGGCCTTAGAGATTATGCTGAATCTGCTGCCAATAGCTGCACAGCTGCAAAGGGAGGTATTAGACTAAGAGAATCCAAACCGTGGAAGGAAACCGATTATGGACACTCGACAATATTTAAGGGGGTGATGGACCACCAAGGGGCCAAAACATTCTTTAAGGTAATGGACATAGTGGCCAAATATTCTTTTGAAGACTGGATAAAGGTCACTTTACCTTCAAGAGAAGATTGGCTATTGCTTAAAGAGGACAATGCGTTGGACAATGTCACCATACAGGGTGTATATTTTAAGTGATACCACTATTGCTATATCCGCAACGGTAAGAGCTACAAGGTCGGTTAAATTAGAAAAAAGTTGCCTTTTTTGATGCCCATTCAAGACTTGTTTACACTGTTGCCAAATTCCTTTTAGTTTATGAAATACAGGGTGATTTCTGAAAAACGCCTCAAATTATTGAATCAATTATTTCGAAAACTATAGATATTCGAGACACGATTTAAATTTGAAAGTTTTGTAATTTTTTCCGCTCTACAACATGACATTTTCAAATTTTAAATCCGACGTTTCGTGATCGAGCTACCATCATCAAGTTCTTTTTTTTAAATACGGACCTGAATTTTTTATGTCATTTTTAGAAAGGGAGTGAAGGGCGCTTTCTAAAAATGACATAAAAGATCTAGGTCCGCATTTAAAAAAATGAGGTTGATGATGGTAGCTCGATCACGAAACGTCGAACTTAAAATTTGAAGATGCTATGTTGTAGAGCGAAAAAAATTATAAAACTTTCAAATTTAAATTGTGTCTCAAATATCAATAGTTTTTGAAATAATTGATAAAATAATTTTATGCGTTTTTTAGAAATCACCCTGTATTTCATAAACTAAAAGGAATTTGGCAACACTGTAAACAAGTTTTGAATGGGCATCAAAAAAGGCAACTTTTTTCTAATTTAACCGACCTTGTAGCTTTTACCGTTTCGGATATAGCAATAGTGGTATCACTTAAAATATACACCCTGTATATGTGGATAGCAAAGCAGCGTTGAGACTGCTAGAATCACATACAGTGAAATCAAAAATAGTTATGAGCCGGCGAGAAGCGCTGTCTCGGATCAGGAACAGTAATGTCGGACTAAGCTGGGTTCCTGAGCATAATAGTATCAAAAAAAACGAAATAATAGATAGACTGGTAAAATTGGGATTGAAAAAGAACCAAGTTGAAACAGACGACTCTCACAACAATCAAACTGTTGATGGATGATTGTGTAACATCACGAGCTCTATGGTCGTATGTGAATATAGAGGAAACCAGAAAATTATTAAAAATGGATGACAGATCGATAAGCATCTCAGTAGGGACATTCACAGGACACCGTCAAGTCGAAACAATACTCTATAAGTGGGGCCTCGAGACTAGACCGATGAACTATGTCAAAAATGAAGGAGGAGGATGAAACAATAGAGCACCTACTATGTCCTTACAGAAAGAACGTCTACATCACCTAGGGAAAAGTTTCCTGAAACATGCAGGAAAGATAAGGACACCAGAGAAGGGAGCACAATTGAATTGGCCAATAGGCCTCCGAGTGCAAGTAGTTTGACGGAAGGCTATTGATTGACAGAAATTTGAACTTGAAAATGCTTACCAAAGTACAGAGAATAGCAGTACACCACAAGCGGCCTTAGAGATTATGCTGAATCTGCTGCCAATAGCTGCACAGCTGCAAAGGGAGCTCTTAGACTAAGAGAATCCAAACTGTGGAAGGAAACCGATTATGGACACTCGACAATATTTAAGGTAGTGATGGACCACCAAAGGGCCAAAACATTATTTAAGGTAACGGACATAATGGCCAAATATTCTTTCGAGGACTGGATGAAGGTCGCTTTACCTTCAAGAGAAGATTGGCTATTGCTTAAAGAGGACAATTCGATGGACAATGTCACCATTATGTGGATAGCAAAGCAGCGCTGAGGCTGCTAGAATCACATACAGTAAAATCAAAAATAGTGATGAGCTGGCGGGAAATGCAGTCCGGGATCAGCAACAGTAATGTCGGACTAAGCTGGGTTTCTGCGCATAGTGGTATCGAAGGGAACGGTATAACATAGATAGACTGATAAAACTGGGAATGACAAGGAACCAATCAAGGAACCAAGCTGAAACAGACGATTCTCACAACCAACAATCAATTTTGTTGATGGATGATTGTGTAACATCACGAGCTCTATAAGTCGTATGTGAATATAGAGGAAACCAGAACTGTCAAGTTGGAATAATGCTCTATAAATGGGGCATCGAGACCGATGAACTATGTCAAGAATGATTCAAGGAGAATGAAACAATAGAGCACCTACTATGCCGCCTACGGAAAACTTTCCTGGAACACGCAGGAAAGATAAGGACAATGAAAATACTGAACTTGGTATTCAACACAAAACGAAGAAAAGAGGAACAGGAACCATTCTAAAGAAAGGAACATAATGGGCCAATGAGTGCAAGCCTACAATTGCGGGGCAAGCCCTTTAAAACCCAACCTAACCTAACTTAAGAAGCATTCAAAATGATTCAATGTATTAGTAAATAAGCACTAACCATCAAAGCAAATTTACTCTATTGCATGACTACTTATCCTGTTGAAAAGCGATTTACTGATTGTCTTTTTATATATAATCCTTTTCGACTTTATGGCCCCAAAAACATTGATCGTGAAAAACTATGGTAGATCTTTTTGGGCCAGTTAACAAAAAACTACAAAAAAAAAATGGCACTTCTAACAAATACTCTTATCGTAAAACTCTACCATGCAATTCAATTAATTATTAATTAGGCTCTCGATTACATATATAGATAAAATGTATATAAATCTTTAATAGTTTATCGTCGCATCGTCATGCAAAGTTAATTTTTAAAATTGGGAACATTATCTTGTAGCCTTAAATTTTATTAATAATATACAAGGTAGTTACAATCAGCCTAACTAAAAAAAAAAACTTATCCACCAAAAGTTGCAAATTGTATGGGGATTAATGGGAATACATAGGGTTATTAGCGGTGCGAATAGCAGGTGTGAGGGTATCACAGTTTTGAGGCACTCGCTTACCGGCACGCAACATTTTCAGAACGCGCCCTTTTTGAAACTATTTTGACTAGACTTTATTGAAAAATAAAATTTGGCAAAACACAGGCAATAAAAACACTAAGACAATTTTTTTTTTAGTCAAACAAAACACAAATAGTTTTAAGAAGTCTTCAACTTCTTATAGGGTTGCATGACAACGTTATTGTTGTTTTGCGCGGCAATATTTGCAGCCGAAGGAGTGACGTTGGTCATGGGCGAAGTCGAAACGTTAGGACTGGGATACTGGGCTAAAAGACCTCCACCATACATAGAAGAAGGGACTACGGAAGCGGTAGACGTTGCATTAGCATAAACGGCTGGTCTCATAAGCGAGTAAGGATTGAACTGGAAAGCAGCGGCTGTAGTTGGTGGTGGACGCCCCATGAAAAAGCTTTGCTGAGCTAATGCCGCAGAATAAGGATTCTGCATGCCTAAGTTTAAGCCAGCAGCAGCTCCAAAGCCCAAAGGTAATCCTTGGGGATAGCGCAAAGTAGGCGGAGGAATGCTTAAATGTTGCTTGTTCAGAGTAACCCCAGTGTAATTAAGCGGATTCAATTGACTCATTTGATGCGAGTTGGCCAAAGACTGATTCATTGCGGCAAGTTTAAGCGCTTTAGCGTAATTTTGCTGGGCGACTTCTTTGGCAAGAGCCGCGGGATCGTGATAAACCGTTATGGGCTGTGCCGGTAAGCTAGCGGTGGTGTTTGTCAACGGTGTCACGGAACGAGGAACCTGCAGCTCGTTTTCTTTACTGTACTGAGCTAATGGCTGAGGTGGCTGAGGCTGTTGAGCCGGCTGCGCTTGCGCCTGAGGCGATTGAATCGTGGCAACCGATGTTGCCGGATTAACAGCCGCAGCCGCCTCCGGTATCGAAGGCGAAGCTGTTGAGGTGGGAGGAGGAGCAGCCGAGGTTGGATACTCACATGACACGGGCACGAACGGCTGTTGGAGTTGCATCAATTGTTGGTAGGTGGTTGCGTTGGGTTGGTACACTGGTACGCCGGATTTGTCTGCGGCTGGTCGTTTGTAAGGAACCATGCCCGCAGGAAAGGCCTGGAATATAAATTAATCGTTTAGATTTCAATGATAATGTGGCGTTTTTGCCAGTCTGTACAGAATTTAAACCTGAAAATCTAGAAAATAGTGCCTTGTTCATGTAAGAAGATTATCGCGTTTATTCTGGATTTTACAAGAATGGAATACGGATATATAAAGGCCGGTATTAGTTAATAGTTTTTAGTTTAGGATATAATTTAGATAGTGAATATTGTAAAGTTGCACAGTTAAGTTGTTTGAGTTAATGAGTGAAGTAATTAATGTCAGAGTGTATAGTTACGTGGAATAAATTATAGACCGGTGCATAAAGACCATTGTTTTGAAACGATTTTCTCCCGTGTGCCATTAAGGGTGGTTATTCTTTATGCAATAAGAAGTGGAATAGCTGAAATTTCACAGAGCCCCGTGTGTGACAATAAAATGATATGCTAATTTGAAAATGTAATGAAAAGTGGAGATTTGGATCAATATTATCCCGTCTGCCACACATTGTGAAGGTAATTTAAACAAAAATGAGTACAAGGAAGCTAAACGGCGGAAACCCTAGGTTAGTATAAAGTGTCATATTACTAATTTCAAAATGTCGCCAAAATCGGACATGTGGATCAACGACCTCCCGTCTGCCAAATTAAATTTATGTTTCATTCACGATGTAATACATCAATAAGTAAATGGCAGAAAATCTCGGTTGGTATAATAATTTTTAACAATTTTTGAAGTTGTATCAAAATGCTGAGATGTTGAAATAATTTTCTCCCGCCTAAAACATGTTTTGTTACAATGGATTTTAGATAAATAATGTACCTTTGCATTGGCAGAAAAATTGAAGTGGTACAGATATTTATTTTTAATTTTTCAAAATGTCAAAAATTTTCAAATTTGAGATCAATTATTTCCCGTCTGCCATTATTTTATATTAAATAAGTTGCTACCAAAAGCTTAAGTTTTGACTGGCAGAAATTGCAGACTGGTACAAGTCCTAATAAACAATGAACAAAATTACGACAAAAATTGTTCATATGATGAACGTTTTTAACCCGTCTGCCATTTGGTTAAGTGAATTGTAGTTATGAGAATATGCATATTTTCAATATGGCAGAAACCGCAATAAGTTACATAAGTTGCACATATGGTTATTAAATTGCAATTTTCTCCCGTCTGCCAACTTGATTGAGTAGAGTTACTATCAAAACAACTGAATACCTATCAAAAAGCAAAATGACTGCTTATGTACATAGAGGGTCTGTTCCTTATAATTAGTGCGGCTCCTACAACTTAAAAGAAAATACAGAAAAAAGTTAAATACAAAAGTTGTAGGATTTTATCTCTATTATTTTTCCTATATGTCAAAATAGGCAAATGACAGGTGGCAACTGTCATAATGACAGCCCTTGCATTTTTTTTTTAAATGGAACACCCTGTATATTTTTAGCTACGATAATAGATGTTTTTCTTTTGATTTCAAATATACCATATATATTGATATTTGGTCCAGCTATTTTTACGCTATTTAAGTTTAAACATGCATTTACATTACTCTAAATTAGGTCTGCTCCCGGTTCCTAATATCAATGATGAGGCTTGCTCAATGCAATTTTAAAATGACAAAGCGCAAAAACAGCTGAACCAAATATCAACATATATGGTACATTTGAAATCAGAAGAAAAAAAATCTATCATTCTAGATGAAAATATACAGGGTGTTCTATTTAAAAAAATGCAAGTGCTGTCATTTTGCCCATTCTGACATGTGCAGAACATAATAGAGATAAAACCCTACAACTTTTGTATTTAACTTTTTTTTTGTATTTTCTTTTGTTTAAGTTGTAGGAGCCGCACTGTTTGAAATTTCACATACAAGTTATAATTTTTTTTTAATGCCTATCACACATAAAGGTTTTCCTGATGAGGATGAAAGTGAAGAAGAAATTAATGAAAACGAAGATTTTGGCGATTTATCAGATTTGGATGACGGCAATAATGATGATGATAATGGAAAAAGTGACATCAGTTGTGATGGAAGTGACTCCGAAGGGATAGATGACAATGAAAACGATAATGATGATGCTGATGATAATTATGAAGATGCTGTTTTTGATAATGTTGATGAATAAAACATTTTTTTTCCTAAAGATACAATTTTTTATTATTCTGCCTTATCATATTTAGGTGTCTTGAGCAGGGACGAAGCGAAGGCCTCTGGTTTAGGGGGGGGGGGGGGGGGCGACATTGCCAATTTTCCCAACTTTATTAAAACATAAAAAAATATATATATAGGGTGTATAGATAGGCCCATTTCGAAGATATTTTATCAATACACTTGTCATTGCTTTTATATTATATATTATTCTCAAGAATTTTCAAAAGGATCTTCTAACTTCTGTAATTTTTTTTAAAATGTTTATAAAGATGTTTGTTTCGCGTATTTTTGGTCTGTAGGGTATCCTTGATCTAATAAAGTAATAAAGCAACTAATTATTTCCAAAATCGCGGAAGGTTCTGTGTGCAAAGTGTTCAAAAGTCATTGTCACTGGCTCGCTTTCTTCGTCTCTCTACAATCTACAGTCTACGTTATACAGGGTGGGGAACGAAAAACTTTCCACTCAGGTTTTCTCATCAAAAATCGCTCGGACACGTTGCTTTTTATTTTTTGGGGACACATTTCAAATAGAAAGCAGGGTCGAGTAATACGTCATTTGATAGCTATTTTTATCAATAGTAATATAACTAGTGCAATGGAAATTATTGATAATTTTTGGGAAATTTGCCCGGATGCATTTCTAGTTGAAAAAGAGCACGAGTGCGCGTAGTGCACGAGTGCCTTTTTCAGTTAAAAACGCATGAGTGCAAATTGGTCGAATTTGTCAAATAATTGCAATCTGATTGGTTCAAATCAACAATCAAAACATGTCAATTCATTGTTGGAATACCAGTTTTGACAGATGTATGAAATTCTCAAGATAATATTCCCAAAGTTTCAAGTTTACCCTGTCGAAATGGAGGCTTGTCAAAGTTGTGTGGCTTCTATCTCATAATAACAAAACAACATGAATAATTTTAAACTGAACTGTTAAATGACAATATTCAAATTAAATACCAATATTATTCAATTACTATGGATAGGTAGGTACCCTTAAAATCTATTGTTTTGTTATTATTTGATAAAAATTAAACAGTTCAGATACTCGAAAATAGTTATTTGATTTCCTGACAGGTATGACACCCAGTGTGCGAACTAGCTATTTCGCGCACACGTGCGCGAAATAGCTAGTTCGCGCACGGCGTCATAGGAACGTTAAAAAATCAATATCTGGGATAAAAAGTGTCACTTCGCAAACTGTCATGAGTGTGCGAACATCATCATTTTTTGACAGTTGTAGAAAAAAGCATTTCTCCTAACTTCGACAAGCCGCAATTCCGAGAGGGTAAAGGGTAAATATAGGCAACTCGAAACTTTGGGGATATAATCCTAATATAAATAGCTATCAAATCAAATTTTTGAAAGTACCTGTCTTAGGGGTTGACAGGTAGAGGGTGAAAATACCAATGGAATGTGTCTCCCAAAAAACAAAAAATTGACGTATCCGAGCCCCTTTGATTAATCACCTAACATCTTAGAAAACCGGGGTGGGAAGTTTTTCATGCCCCACCCTGTATATCTTCCTCCTCACTCGTCTCTCGTGTAACGAAATTTGCCAAAACATGACGTAATGTGATGCGTCTTCCAAATCACTCTCCATATTTTCGTCTAAATATCAGAATTTTCTATAGATTTAGATATAACTACATCGGTCGTCGGTCCTGACTCTTGAATAGTAAATAGTTCTAGTGGCGCTAGGCCACTACTGCCACGAGTGTCACATGCCACTGCCACAGGCTAGTCGCACTAGTGCAGTGCAAAGTGCAAGGCAAGAGATCGCTGCGACCATTGGGATTTCGTCATTCTGTTGTCCGGTGATTTTGCAATTCATTATGCCACGTGACACGATCCTAATGTTAATTTTAATTAGTCCTCGCAAATAAGGTGCGCAAATTTTTGTCTACCAATTTTTCCCAACTTTAAATTTTTTATCCAAGTTTTTCCAACTTTCGATATATTTGAGGAACTTTGCCCAACCCCCCCCCCCCCATGGCTTCGTCCATGGTCTTGAGAGCAACTTTAATTTTAATTAACCGGTTTTCAGACGGGAGAAAACTGTTTGGCCATACATAAACATTTTTCGCAACTTATTGCGGTTTCTGCCATATTGAGAATATGCATATTTTCATAACTACATTTCACTGAAACAAACGGCAGACGGGTTGAAAACGTTCACGATATGAACAATTTTTGTTCCAATTTTGTTAATCAATTATAAGAACTTGTATCAGCCTGCAATTTCTGCCAGTCGAAATTTAAGCTTTTAGTAGTAGCTAATTTAATATAAATTACTGGCAGACGGGAAAAAATTGATCTCAACTTTGAAAAATTTTGACATTTTTATTGTTCCTGCCAATTGTTAATATATCTTGGAAACATCTGCCAATACATTTCTTGGATTTTACTTTGCATGTCAAACTCATCTTCCAAATGGGCAGATGGGAGAAAATTGTTTCAACATCTCAGCATTTTGATACAACTTCAAAAATTGTTAAACATTATTATAACAACCGAGATTTTCTGCCATTTTCTCATTGATCTCTAAATCGTAAATGCAACATAAATTTAATTTGGCAGACGGGAGGTTGTTGATCCACATGTCCGATTTTGGCGACATTTTGAAATTAGTAATATGACACTTTATACTAACCTAGGGTTTCCGCCGTTTAGCTTCCTTGTACTCATTTTTGTCTAAATTACTTTCACAATGTGTGGCAGACGGGATAATATTGATCCAAATCTCCACTTTTCATTACATTTTCAAATTAGCATATCATTGTATTGTCACACGCGGGGCGGGGCTGTTTGAAATTTCAGCCATTCCACTTCTTATTGCATAAAGAAGAACCATCCTTAATGGCAGACGGGAGAAAATCGTTTTAAAAAAATGGTCGTTATGCACCGGTCTATTATTTGTTGTATTAATTAGCCTTCGATTTTGAAATAAATGAACCCATGATTTCTGTCACGCACCCCAGAGCCGTGACAATAAACTCAAAATTGTCTTCTTTGGTAAAACATTTAGGTCGTATTATGTGATTGAAAGGACAGACAAAACAAAATGAAATACTAAACAAATTATAAACAGAAACAATATACTTACAAAATTGTCATAATAAAATGATCCAACAGATTTCATGTCCATCTGAAAAAGAGAAATGCAACAATCATTAGTAATCCGATAGAAAACATGAATTCATAGCAAGCAAAACAAATCAATCGCATTAAATTAGGCGTCATACACTTCCGAGAAAAGTCAAACTGGACTTTTCAAGAAACATAACATGACACAGTTTTAATAACATATTTTTCTTAAATTAGATTAGTCTACATCAAAAAAGAAATACTATAATTAATAAAAACAACAACAAAGACGTTGATTTCATTGTTGCCATTAGAAATTAAAAAAAAAAGTATAAAATAGTATGTCCAAAATTACGTTATAAGTATATTGCTATAAAGTAATTTTACACATTGCCTTAGTAAACATTAAACATAGTTTGTCGTTGCTAGAATGTTGCGAGATCCATAATTCATTTCGACGATCCTAACTATAATAAAAATAAATATTTGATTTTGTTGCATAAATTCACTTGAAGCCAAAATAATAAAACTCTAAAAAATAAATCGAAGCAAAGCTTTAGGCTAAAATATTCCCCGACAATAATGTTGTTACGAAGCATATATCGTGATAAAACCGTATTAAATCTAAAAAAAACTAGACACCAACGTGCAAATTTCATAAAGCCTTATTTATTATAGCGAAAAGCTAGTGGATTTTTTTATTTATTTTGTGAGAGATTCTTCACGTGATTATTAAGCAAAAAAAGCAAAATATTTTATGAATTTTTTATTAGACGTCCCGTCGTGTTAAAAAGCAAACAAAACAGCCTCTCACAACATGCTAACAACCTTCAAAAAAAAAAGGTAGCAGTTCGCGGCTTTTTCTACAATAGATTTTCAGCAAATAATTTTCCCTCCAATGATTATTGTATAACTAATAAAAAAAGCTTCAAAAATAAGTAAAATCTCGGCTATACAAAGCTGTGACGCCTTCAGGCAAAATAATATATACAAAATTTTTGTGTGGTACTATAGCATAAGCGATTTTCTTTTGGTAACATAATATCCAGTCGGTACCTAGAAGCTAGAAGCACAAAAAAAGCTAATTTACAAAGCTTATGATATTTGAATAGCTTTTGAACCGATCGATAGCTGAAAATGTAGTTAAGACACAAACCACTACCGATTAGGTGTTAATAATTGTGTGCTTTGTGGTGTTAAAAAAAACGTTACAAGTTGTATTGGTTCACTTTTTTGTATTTGAGTTTTGAGTGATCACAGAGCGAGAGCAAAAAATTTTGAATATCAGAAATTGATATTGATTCACCAATAAAACGAGTTTCAATGGCTAGAAAGGTGGGGGTCAACTTGTGAGAGAAAAGAAATCATGTATTTTACCCCTCTATTATTTGCTGGACTGTCTGCTTTGAGAGCTTTTGGTGGTGGAGCTGCTGGAATACCTGAATGAATTCGTACTCAAGTTTTCCATTGAAAATTATGTGAAGATTTCGTCTGACAATGAACTAGCTCAACGATATCGTATTTTATAGTCTCAGTAGCATAACTTGACATCAGGTGGCCTCGGTGCAAGATTAGATCAGCCCATCGAAGGATCAGTCCGTCCGCCATAGTTTTCTTTGGGTGCCACGCCCAAAAACGGTAATTTTAACAGTCGCACTGGGACCCTAACTGGGTACCCGCAGAACATGGAACAGAGGGGCTAGCGACTGACTCCAGGTTTTCTTGAATTCGGAACAGGGGGGTTTGCGACTAAACGGGTAGGTGATTTGTAAAAAAAATGTGGAAAAATGTATCTTATTTAAAACTAATTTTCAAGGTAGCTATATATTTATTTTGAAGTCCTCTATACCTTGAACTATAACCCTTATCAACTTGACACGACTCCTTGCCTAAAGCATTAAAAAAAAAAACTTTTTTCCTACATTTCTGTTTTAGATTATCTCTTGCCCAGTTCTCGTTATAGCTTTTATGAAAAGAATGTGAGAGTTATAGGCAACTATATCAATCAAATTGAAAAAACCGCCATCGGCCATCTTCTTGTGCCTCTTCGACGACTGTACGCGATATGGAAACGTCCGGCAAATGTCAAAGATTTTGTCAATCTCAACAAATTTTATGTCTACGAGTTTAAAAAACACGTAAAATAAGAGTCCCAAACGATTGTTGAAGAGAAAGTGAAAATGAGTAGGTAACGCTAAAAAAGTAAACTGGGGTCATTGCCTAACCTCCCTGGTCCAGGTGTCACTGTTAGGCCTTAAAATAGTATATTTAGGTGGAAAAGCCGACAGTGTAAGTTGACGTGCGAGGCGCAGCTGAGGCTGGCAAATACCGAAGGCCGAGAATGTGCTTTTCCTTTGAAATACTCATACTATTTTTTCTGCGATCGCTCCAGTAATGGAAAAAATGAGGAATGCTTCTATGTGGTTCGTAAAAATCAGCACAGTTTCCCAACCTATGCCGGAAAAGTGATTCCCGTACTATTATCCATTGATTCCCATACTGTCATCCATCGATTCCTTAGCAACCATTGAAAATACCATAACTGGTCAAAAATGATGATATTTCTTGTCAATCGCAGAAAATAACATATTACGAATTTAAAAAAATAGGTATAGGTACTTATGACGAATGATGGGCCCCTACGGGGACCCTCAAATCTTGGGGGCCTCGGTGATTTGCACCGAACTGCCCTATGATAGTTACGCCAGTGTATAGTCTATATCTATTAAATCAAATTGTTTGATGTAGGTAGTAGTTGTATTGTCGTATCTAGGATAATAGGGCATCTGCCTTCGGGTAATTAAACCCAATCGTCTTTCAAAAAAGGTTCATGGGTTTCGGGAACATCATTGATTGATGGAAGGTCAATGTCAACGAAGCTTCACCGGTAATTGTTATAATCAGCGATCGCCCACCATGTTCGCGGTATTAGTGTATGTCAGCACTTTAGTTAATTTATTAGTTAATTACCTTTGTAAATATTGAATTTATTTGTGTATAAATAGTGTTACCGTTCTTTAAATAAATTAGTATTAAATCATCAGTCGTTTGTACTCAATCACACCTATAGTCGGGCCACCGAACAGAGATAGTAATAAAACGATTACCTGGTAACTGGCCCCCATAAATATTTATTATAAGAAGGTATAAATTGGATATAAATCCTCTCGTCTACTGCCTGTCAGGCCCCTCAGAAGTTGAAGGCTTGGTTTTATTACTATCTCTGTTCGGTGGCCCAACTATAACAGTCAACTGCTTATTACTGAGAGTTACTAAAAACCCTATCAAGTTTTCGACAACAAAGAAGAAGTAGGTGCTCAGAGTGTAGTCAGTCATTCTCTACCACGATTATAAACCTGTGATAATTATTAGTGCCCATGCCCATATCTGAAATGCACCTATTTGTGGTAATCTTTATTTTAAATACACTTTCCTATTTTTGTACTGGGCCCCTCATAACCCCTAGGTCCGAGAGCATATCATAAAACGTCATTCTGTGATCATCTCAAGTAGAACCCATAATATTTCAGTTACCGGTCAATACAACTTGTAAGAAACAAATAACAAATTCAAAAAAATATATAGTGTCATGCAAAGCAGGCGCAAAAGGTACCAGTAATAGATCTGTGTCGGCGGTGCTAGGCTCGCGCGGCCTCTTCTTGCCAATCTCGAGGGCGGCTGCGGCGGCAGCTGCTGCGGCTGCAGCTGGGGTGGGCTGCGCCAGCAATGGCGAAACTGCGGCGGGCTATTAGTAGTAGCGTCAGCGCAGCAACAAGACAGACCAAGCACATCCGCACCAACCAGGGGGGAAATAAAACAAAACCAGCTCTAATTAATGTCATGTCGGGGATATTTTTCACGCACGCAACCGATTCTTTTTCTTTTTGGTGCGGGCAACTTAAAAAAGTCGGCGCAGAGAAATGATATGTTCGGATAATCTGGCCTAGATTATTCATCTTTATAAACTTGCTGGTAACACATTGAGTTCCTATTCATATGATACAGCCCTTAAACTTCCCAATTCTTGGTGTTATTATCCGAACATACCCTTCTGAAGTAAACGGTAATAATAAACAAGAAAACTTTCAGCGGCAGGCTTCTGGAAATATCAACTGGCACAGGCCTATACGTTTAACTTTAAAGCAAAACGTTATTAGGTTTGTGTGTGTGTGTGTCAGCAAAAGCGCAGAATATTTGAATCGCAATCCAAATGACGGTTTCGATGTTTATAATTAATGAGTCAGTTAATGAAAAGCTGCGACTTGTTGGCACGATTTCAATCAAATTGCCAATCAAAATTGAAGTAGAGGAAATTATTTGAACGTTTGATGGACATTCGAATAAGTTAACACAACTATAGAAAACTGAATCGATAACAAACTGCGGAACTATTTCCACAACGATAATTCAAATTCGTCTCGACATTTTCGGGTAGGCCGACCAATTCTTAGCCGAGAAAGGCACTTTGCCATTAGACAAATGAAATATTTATTTATCCATTAATCCATTGCGGTTCATATTTCATGCTTTTGCTGACTGCGTCGCGTTGTCAGAATATGCCAGAAGGCACACAATGAGGTTTACCATTGGTCGGGATTATACAGTGTGGAAAGATTTTCTTTTGACATCAGATTACGATACATTTCTGATTTTGCTTGATTGAAACTTGATTAAATTGAAAAAATATTTAATTTTCTGACATATCTGTTCACGAACAATAACGTTTTCCTATAAGTAAACGTCGAAAATGTGCAAATGTGCGTTAAAATTTGCTTTCGTGCTAAATTTAGAAGCATTTTATGAGCATGCAAAGAACGCCGCTGGCATAAAGCGTAAAATATCATGTGCCTGTTTTAATTGATTGATGGAATAACATGATATGTTACTCCTAGCCTATTAATTATAATTTTTAAAAAATCATCTTCCTAGATCTACCTAAAGAAATATAAAAATTGATCAATTAAAGTTTCGCTTCACACCTACATGCAATATACCGAGCATCATAAATAAATTGCAAGACAATAATAAATCTCCGTTGTTGCAAGGCTTCCACCTATAATCCAAATTCAACTGCAAATCCTAGGCAACTTAGGCAGTTTACAAAATCCTAAGGCAATGAATGCGTAATTTAAATTTTGCCTATCAATATCAATATCGGTAAATTAAATACACAATTGTTGTACTTCCGAAAACCTTGTAGTCACAATAGGGTCCTGCGAAAATTACTTACCTTTATAACATTTAAAAAAAAAAAAAAAAAAAATGAATACCTCAAAACGAGTAGCTTTAGACAATAATAATAATAATAATGATAATTGTGTAATTTTTTGGGACCTAAAGCTGCCAAACTATACAATAGGACAATATTTGTAAAGTGTATGCTACTGGAAAAAAAAAAATAGATCGGCCGCAGGATTGGGTCAGCTTTTCTGCAGGGCGTTCATGCTCCTAACTACGCACAAACGATTATTTTTCTACCCGCACCCTGCTAGGAAAAAAATAAACAGGAATGGAAAAGTTTCGCTTAATTGTTTTGATAAACTTTTCCAATTCCTCTCAAACAAAATTAAATACAGCCCTGGATGATAGCAGAGAGAATATAGCTGCAAATCATTGCTTTAGGAGTTTTGCGAAATTGCCTGCAGCTGCTTCACAAATACAAGACAGGAGCTAAATACTAATAAGTCAGTTGGAAGCTACTCTAAACGACTGAGGGATTAATCTAAGAGAGACTAATAGTTATCTACTATTTTATTAATACAATGATGCGCACCTCATTGTATTAATAAATAGGATTGTAGTTTAACATTCTGTGGCCATCAGAAGGTTAATGATACAAATTTTATATGGCAGTAGCCTAACTGACTATCTAAAACATAACTAATTGTTTGTAATGTTTAATCTAAAAACAACGCTCGTAAGTAATTTGTGTATGTATTTACAAAAGAGGATCTATACATACAAGTAGTTATTTGAATTTATATATATACAAAAGTGTCTTGATGTTATCTTACACAATTTTTATGTACATGACAGTCATTTTGCGTTGCTGATCAGATTAAGCATTTCGTGGTAAGTACTAAAATGAAAAACTAAAACAAAACCACATCTAAAAAGGGATTAGTAGAAAAAATAAACCAAAAGACAAAACGACACAACATCAAAAACTAAATTAGAAAAAAATATAAAAGGCTTGAATAGCGTGCGCCCTAAGATTGCGTAGCATACCGCGCTAGCCCGCGACTGTGCGGCCTTGATTTGGGCTTGGAGGTGCAGAGGGGGGTGGAAATAGCGGCAGGGGTCGCGGTTGCACCGGCCCTTGACTGCGTCCATGCAGACAGTGACCGTGCCGTCCTCGTTGGCGGTCACAGAGTCGGCGGGATGCGCAAAGCGACATTCGGACTCTGCGCGCTTACACGCTCCGCGCTGGAACTCACGGCACACCTACAGGCAGAACCCAGCGATGAGCTAAGCGCCAATCAGTTTGGCAACTTTACCCATATCGGCTCCTAACAACGGATGATCATTTAACTGATGAGACGCAAAGACGAACGAAATTGCTCTTTACCTTTTGAGTAGAAAAGATATACAGTTTGTGAATTTTGGTGAGTAGAATATTGTAAATTACACAATGGGCTGACCATTATAATTAATGCTCATTTGCTTCATCGTCTGCTTCTGTCTATTTGCTCCCGTACCCGCTTCGTTTTTCATCCACTTTAAATTCAAACGCTAGAAGTTCCTTTTGGCGCGGTTATCCCACATGATGTGTCGAATGTCTTCCAACATTGGACACATCGCCAGTTGACACACCGTGTAGGGGTGTACTTGTGATTTACATGTGCTTAATGTTGGCAACATGGCACGTTCGGGATTTTGTCTTCACCCATGTCAAAAGGAACTTCCTAACATTATTGTAATGATGTAATAGTAATAAACTATATTCAATAAATTAACGTTTGGTTACGACGTTTTTACATAACAATTTTCCACCTAATTTATCTGTTGAATGTTATCAATCGTTCTGTGATACTTGCCAATCTGTGAAAAATGAATCTGTTAATCATAAATTCATTCTGTGTGGTGACGTTCACCTTCCCAATATCCAGTGGTCGGTAGAGGATGATTTATTAATCCCTTCAGAGCTGAATTCCACTTGTGCTGAAGCAGTTTTGGATTTGACTAACGGACTAACGAACGACTAATAAACGGAAATGATTGAAAATAAATTTTTAATTTTCGCTTTGTAGATAAAACGTTGTACATCACACGTGCGTTTAAACATGACTACAAAACTTGTGTGATTAGAACGACTCGGTCTACGACCTCGTCGTTCTAATCTTTGACACTTGTTATTGTTATCATGTTCATAAACGCACTTCACTTGTAATGTAAATAACTATTAAAACATCCCAATCTCTCTTATACGCCGATGACCACAAATTCTTTAGCTTGGTTGGCCCTGGTCCCGATGGCTTGCAGTCTGATTTTGAAAGACTTGTTGTGTGATGCGAATCTAACTAATGATTCAATATTTGAAAATGTATCAGCTATTAACGATCTAGGAATAATTTTTGACACTGACCTAACGTGTACAGGGTGCTGCAATTTGGAGTGTTTCAACAGGAAAAACATACTTCTAGACCAGATGGAGGAAAATTGACTAAAACGTCATGGGATCAATTTTCGAGAAACGTCGATTGTCAAAAACCGTATCGCGATATCTTCAATGGTACCATTGATACAGGGCGATTTCCGATTTTCCCCAATTATGAAAAATAGCTATAAGTTTTTTATTTATCAATTTTTTTTATTTCTGTAAAAACATTATGGAGACACTTTTTTGAGCACAATCCAGTGGCGGACTGATTTTTTTTCTATATCGCTCCGATTTCGAGATATAGACCAAAGTCCGATATTTTCAAGCGTAACACCCTATATATTAATAGCTCATTGGAGAGCTCTGTTTTTGCTGATTTCAATGATATAAAGTTCGATAGGTTTATCTCTAACAGTTTTCGAGAAAAAAAATTATATCTGTTTCAGTCATAAGGAACAATGTGTTAGAGAGAGACCTTCCTCATTTTCCTTACACATATAAAATTCTTTTCTAACACATTGATCCTTACGACAAAAACAGATATAATTTTCACTTTGTTAACCCCGGTCAAGATGTCAATGTCAAATACAGCAGGTTAACACCTGTCGAGGTGGTAGAAATTCAATTTCTATGCTGCTTGGCAACCCCAGCGGCAGCAAAAGTACTTTTAGTGCCGCTCGTACTTTTACTGCCGCTCAACCATTCAGTTACCCCCGAGCTTACCCCATTCGTTTGGAGAAAAAATAGTGTGTTGCATACGGAGTAGAAGCACTTTTTTGTGCTTCAGCAGTATTGCAAGCCTCACTACGTTCGGCTCGCAAACCTACTGCTTCAGCACAAAAAAGTAAAGCTTCTACTCCTAATAGAACAATATACTATTCTTATTTTTCGCTTTGTAGAAAAAACGTTGCTCATCACACGTGCGTTTTAACATGACAATAAAACTTGTGTGATTAGAACGACCAGGGCCGGTATTCTCGTTCTAGAAAACGCTCACCGCTTTTCAGTCGCTCGGCACTTTCAATCTAAATTTGCATTTAAAGTGCCGAGCGACTAGAAAGCGGTGAGCGTTTTTGGGAACCAGAATACCGGCCGGTCAATACGCGTTATTGCAATAGGCCGGCATACACACACGTTATTTCGCGCGGTTTATCATGTCATCTGCAAAAACCTGTGAAAAATCGTATGCGTGAGTGAGGAGGGCTGCACGCAATGATAGAATGGGAAGGGATTTCACACGTGCTTTCATCTGGAATGTGGCGTCAGTACTCAAGTACAGGGTTATTGGTTATAAATGTCACCCCCCTCTATCTTTTTTATTTGACATTTTAGAAAAAAGTGTCCCAAATAAAAGTTTTATGGTTGAAATTAATTTTTTTTAAAAACTCACTTTCGCATATACAGGGTGTTTTAGAAAAGCTGGTCGCGTTCCAACTTTCCTATTTTAAATGGAATACCCTGTATATTATTGAATATTCGGATTCTACATAAAATTTTGAGCAGATTTCATGTGATATATACTATACCTAAGTTCAACTGTTTCGAAAATATTGATGGTTGAAAATTGACTTTTTGCAACTTTGACAGGCTGTAAAACCTAAACGGTCAATTTTAGAGCAAAACCGATCTTATGTTTTTATCTTGGATTTGCATAAACTATCAGTTGACACTGATATTTGACATACCAACTTTGAATTTAATCCATGATTAAAAATTCAAATTAAATTTAATTTCCGGTTAAATTCAAAGTTGGTGTCAAATCATAGCTTATGAAAATCTAAGAAAAAAATTTAAGTTCGGTTTTGCTCTAAGATTAACCGTTTAGGTTTCACAGCCTGTCAAAGTTGCAAAAAAGTCAATTTTCAACTGTCAATATTTCCAAAATAGTTGACTTTAGGTATAGGGTATATCACATGAAATCTTCACAGAATTTTACGTAGAATCCGAATATTCAATAATATACAGGGTGTTCCATTGAAAATAAGAAAGTTGGAGCACGACCAGCATTTCTGAAACACCCTGTATATGCGAAAGGGAGTTTTTCAAAAAATTTAATTTCAACCATAAAACTTTTATTTGGGACACTTTTTCTAAAATGTCAAATAAAAAAGATAGAGGGGGGTGACATTTATAACCAATAACCCTGTACTTGAGTACTGACGCCACATTCCAGATGAAAGCACGTGTGAAATCCCTTCCCATTCTATCATTGCGTGCAGCCCTCCTCACTCACGCATATGATTTTTCATAGGTTTTTGCAGATGACATGATAAACCGCGCGAAATAACGTGTGTGTATGCCGGCCTAATCATGTCCATAAACGCACTTGTAATGTAAATAACTAATATTTTGAAGTTGAAAGATAAGATCATATATTGACAATGGCCGCGTTCACCAGATACAAACGTTGGTAAACGGTTTGCGATTGTTCTGCTGAACGCTACGTTGAATTTGTGTTAAAACCAAACATGTTTTGCAAACGGTCGCCATTTTTGCAAGCATAATTTCAGAGTGTTTATAATTTTCAACACTGTGTTTTGTGTGGTGAGCTGTCATTCAGAAGGTGACGTTCTATCATTGAAAAGTTGAATCGTTCAGCAGAACCAAGAGTTTACCCAACATATTTTGTTGGTATTTGTAAACTATTTACAATCCGTTTTGGTTCTGGTGAACGTAGCCAATTACAATTATATCAAATTTCTATCACTGGTATAAAATACCAGAAACAGATTCACAATAATTATGCAACAGGAACCATCGTTTGTCACAAGCTTACACGAGCGATTATGTGTTTGTCACTTTTAGTTAAGACAATGAATATCGGCTCCAATATTCGCATTAATATTTTACATTTTTCGAATTTTCACAGTGTTATCAGATTCTCAAGACTTCACGAGTCTTCGACGACTTTGCATCAAGAGCTTTCGATTTTCAGAATATTTGGCTTCTTTATAGAATATTCAAATTTTTTGACTCAACTCCTGAGCCGTTCCAAAGTCTTTGTAATTTTCAATCATAGAGTATTTCAATCTCGAATCATAAATCAGATAAAGTCTTTTAGAATCTTCCGATCTATATGTTATTGGCATAAATTGATGTCATATTCTTCCGATAATGTTTTCGTTCTTTGTTGTTAAAATCTCTATTGTCCAATGTAAAAAAGTAATCACTCTACTTTGAAAAAAATCACGAACTTCTCTTGCGCGACCGGATAAAAAATGCTTATCCGAAAGGCAAATAGAACAAAGCAAACAAAACCGCACCAAAAACTAAAAACGGGAACAACACAATATTTACAGTGAACAGCATACGCTGTTCGCAGTTTATATTTTGTTTCACGGCAAGGAGCGATTTCGCTGCGTCTCTCCTCCCGGATAAAGGATCATCCATGTAAATAACTTTCTATCGAGAGAGAAAAAAAAGCTGACAATAATAAACCAAAAAAAAAAACATAACAAAGAAAACTGAGAAATGCTACTTCGGAGCCAACAATGCTACAGAAAGAAAGACAATTTTTCAGCTTCGGCTTAGTTGAGCTTCGATGGTAATAATAATACTTCACACCGTGCAAAAAAAGGGTCGATAGAAAGTTACAGGTGCTTAAGAGGGTTTGACGTAAAAAAGAATAAATCACTATTTACAGCTAAAAAAAGGAACTATGTATAAGTGGTAATAATAATAATTTTTATAGAACTTTTTTGATTCTAAAACTACATTCTTGATATACAAAAAATCAAAAAAGTTCCTGACAAAAAACATAAAAAAAATCGACAATATTTACACAGGGGGAAAACTGAACTACGTCTATGTGTGCTAGAAGGTTGGTTAGCATTTTTTTTTTTTTGGGGTTAAGGTGACTTGTGTTAGTACTTGTATATGTGTGTAGGTTATTTACCTCGCCATTTTACTGTCCGGACTTTTAAAACCAAAACTAAATAAACCTGCGAAAATAATAAAATAGAGCAAAATAAAAACTAAAAAGTAAAATAAAAATAATAAATACATGCTAAGAATAATATTAATATAATTTTAGTTTAGAAATAAATAATAATCTAATAAGCATAGAAAAAAAAAAGAAAATAAAGCAATAACTAAAAATACACTAATTTGATGATAATGTAAGGATGAAGGCGCAATAATGTCGTAGACGCAGTTTCCCTTTCAAAAAATATAAAAATTATTTGTTGCTAATAAAAAAAAATATATCGTAAAAATAAAAATTATCGTGCCTACCTCTAACCGATCAGATCGTGGCATCTTTTGTTGCGTGACAACTGTCTGAGGCACTACCCCCAAAGGCGATCCCACTCCGGTGGGATCTTGCATTATCGTGGGCATTATGGGACCGGGTGCAAAATAGGGGCTGTATGTGCTTCCCACTTGGGGCATTCCAGTCAGGTACGGATTTGCGGCCTGTAAAAAAATTCACCAAACATTTCAAGCGATAATTGACTATACGGAGACATTTTAGTTAGAGACAAACGAAGAGAAAATTGTCTACCTTGAAACTAAACAAAGCCTCAAGTTTCATTTATTCAAGCTTTTAATGGATTATCCCTGACACCCCAATTAAATTTTAATTGGATATAAAATAGATTTGCTTTTCTTTGCTCCTGGCTTGCAGCTACCAGAGCTAGAGTTACTCGACGAGTAATCGAGTAAAAGTTTGAAAACAGTAAAAGAGAATTTTATTCGTTGAACTTTATCTCCAAAAAAAATCAGTTGGCTTACAATTTTCTAAAAAATACAGGCAGCATGCGAAGCAATACAAACAAAATAAGTAGGATACAAGGGTATAATTTTATTATGATTGAGGACCGGTTTATTCACTTTTTGCTTAACTATCAAGTAGTCAGGCACGTTGGTACTTGGCGATACAGGACGCAAGGGATTGGATAGGTGACCGCAGTAGTACGGATGGGGGGATAGGTCGCCTGCACTGGCGCCAAATATCTAGTCTCCAAGTGTTGAAGTTTGAGAAACTCTGACTCAAATTGAGAGGAAAACACGAAATAAATTTTACACACTAATACAAAAGTTATTAATTAATTGACAGTTTGTGTACACTCAAAGATAAGCTCTCTCAAATAGAAATGTCGAATCTGAATGTGCTTGGTTCTCTTGTGATTCTCAGGATTTTGTGCCAAATGAATAGCTGCTTCGTTGTCAAATAATAGCCCTGGAATTTCTTTCAGTGCTAATATTTCTTCATATATTCTTTTCAACGACTAGGTCATGAGCGCGCTTCGCGCGCTTTTTTTTTAAATCAAGTCCATCAAAATAATTATAAAATGGAAAATATTTATTAGGTAGGTGTTGTACAAAAAACAGCATAATTTTTGATTTAAATGTACATTATACATTAAATGTAACAGTGAGATAAGTTGTATAGATGTTATTCTAGTGAAGAAATTTCAAATGCGATGGATGGAGTTGGTGACTAATTATTTTTGTATGGTATATCATAATGATTTTAAATCGATCACATTTCTTGAATGTACGGTGTGCGTATGTCTACTTATCTCATTCTGTTTTATGGAACTCGTAGGTGTAGGTATACATTATTCGAAGTGGTTTATTTAAAACAGAATAATCATAACCATAATCAAGGTGTTATTATAAACCGAGTTAGTAACTATTTATGTGCTGTGGTATAATACGAGATATCGAGTCTTAATTTTTTTTTTACATTTTCATGAAGTTCCTTTTTTTTTATTAGGCCAGTTATTGAAGTCTACTCGATCAACATTTTACTGCAAACAATCGAAAAAAAAATTTTTTTAAAAGATTTTAAATTCAATTGCTCAATTATTCAACTTACATTTTTTGTTTGTACCTACGTGGTAGACATAAATTTTAAATGTGATCAAAGTAGTTGGTGAATTATTACTTTTGCGGTACATCGTAATGACTTTAAATCAATCTTATTTTTTGAATATACGGTGTGCATATGTCCAGTGGAACTTATTCTATTTTATGGAACTCGTAAGAATCCAAAGTTTAAAGAGTGCTAAGTCTTCATGTCGTTCTTCGTTATTTTCAATCATTTATGTTTATCCTGTTCAGGTTTTTGTCTTGTGATCTTCAAATATCTTGTAAATAAGTTGTAAAGATCTTCTGAAATCACCTATGACTGCGAAATTTCAAAATTAAATTATCAAAAAAACAATTCTTTAAAAACATGGTTTTTGACAACACTATTGCCTCTTTGTTTCCCTGAATAAAGTTTGAATGAGTCCCACGAACGAACTCTGAAAAGCGCCACATAAAGTTGTCCGTGACTAATACATCCTTTCTGGAGATCAATTACTATCCTATCAAATGTTTGTCCTTGAGATTTGTTAATCGTAACTCATTGCAAAGGCTAATTTTATTTTAAAATTGTCTTTGTTTGAACGTAAAGGGGTAGACGTTTTCGCAGTAGAGTGTTATTCGATTTATGAACACTATTTCTCCCTGTTTATCTACAGTCAATATCTCACAGCGTAACAGATTATCCCCAAGTTCCAGAACTAAAGGCCTTGTGCCATTGCAAAGGCCTGCACTGATGCTTAGATTTCTAATAAGCATACAATAGAATTCGTTTTCAATCGTAAATCATGGAGCGGGAATTCGGCGGATTAAACGAATTTAAATATTTTGGAAGAATAGCATCATTTAGATCACTATTATCACAGTTCTTGACACTATCTATACTGGTGTAGAGTTTTTCGGTCTTGACGTCCAACAGTTCGACAACTTATTCGTTTATTTCTTCGACATCAACATTTCTTGCAGAAAGTATTGCAGATTTGGTCAAGTCCCTGAATCTTCCTTCTTTTAGTATTGTTCGTCGACTTTTCGTATGAGGAGCGAGGGGGTGAAGCGAAAACCAGGGGTGACCTTAGGTGACCATTGGCGTTCAAATGTAGGGTGCCACCAGCTCACATTCCTTTCGAGTATTAGATTAAAATCGACGGACTTTACTTCTCATAGATGTTTTCAACAATATCCGAATTATCAATACATTTCTCCGACAATTTTAGATTGTCGTTAGAATCATTTAGTGTTCGTTATCGCATAAAAATGGCTCAATTTCAGCAATAAGTGCTTAATATTGGCCTTTAAGGCGGCAACCGTTCGAGATTTGTCAACATAGACTTTGGATTTTAGAATGCCCAGAGAAAAAAATCCAGTGACGTTAGGTCGGCCAATTGTGGATTCTGAAGGACGATCGTTGACATCATAAATTGCACGAAGTGCACGAAACGTTTTCCGAATAGAACATTGGTTTTGATAATGATAATAATTTTTAACAATTCCGACGCGTTGCTCAATCGTGTAGCGCTCCATAATAAAATGCAGAGACTAATTGAATATGGCTGCCAAAGATAGCACCTGTGTGACTATCGAGTTTTTCATGGGCTATTGTCAAACATCGAGCGTTACTATTGGAAAACCCTATACATACCTAGATTCTTCTATTGGACCTAGAAAAAATATTAAACCACTTCCTTGCTTTGAAAAACAACCATCTACAGAGCAATATCTAATAGCACAGCTAATAGGCATATTGTCAGAGAATTGTCACATAAGTAACAAATTCACAGTCCTTCACAAAGATGCAACCGAGGAGAACATTGAAAATGCCGAAGCAAACTTCAACGCTAATGCTTGTGATTATTGTGAGCTTTGAGATCCGCTAAAATTCAACCCTTTCCAGATTTTCCAGAATTTTTCCGACCCAATCCAGAAATTTCCATGCGTTTTCCAGACGTTTCCAGAAATTTCCAGACTTTATCCAGATTTTTCCAGACTTAGCTAGACTTTATGCAGACTTGTCAAAATTTCTCCAGACCTTATCAAGCCTTTTCCAGAGGTTTCCAGACATTTCCAGACTTTCCCAGACTTTATCCAGACTTTTCTAGACTTGGCTGGATTTTTCCAGACTTTATCCGGACTTGTCTAGATTTCTCCAGACCTAATAGAGCCTTTTCCAGACGTTTCCAGAAATTTTCTGGCTTTTCCAGACTGTATCCAAACTTATCCAGACTTTTCCAGATTTAGCTAGACTTTATCCAGACTTGTCTAGATTTCTCCAGACCTTATCCAGCCCTTTTCTGACCTCTCCGGACTTCTCCCAAACACTTTCCCGACTTCAAATACACTTTTCCAGACTTTATCCAGACTTGTCTGAATTTCTCCAGACCTTATCAAGCCTTTTCCAGACGATACCAGAAATTTCCAGGCTTTTCCAGACTTTATCCAGACTTTTCTAGACTTGGCTAGATTTTTCCAGACTTTATCCAGACTTGTCTAGATTTCTCCAGACCTAATAGAGCCTTTTCCAGACGTTTCCAGAAATTTTCTGGCTCTTTTCCAGACTTTATCCAAACTTGTCTGAATGTCTCTAGACCTTATTAAGCCTTTTCCAGACGTTTCCAGAAATTTCCAGGCTTTTCCAGACTGTATCCAGATTTTTCTAGGCTTAGCTAGATTTTTCCAGACTTTATCCAGACTTGTCTAGATTTCTTCAGACCTAATAGAGCCTTTTCCAGACGTTTCTAGAAATTTTCTGGCTCTTTCCCAGACTTTATCCAAACTTATCCAGACTTTTCCAGACTTAGCAAGACTTTATCCAGACTTTATCCAGACTTATCTAGATTTCTCCAGACCTTATCCAGCCCTTTGACCTCTCCGGACTTCTCCCAAACACTTTCCCGACTTCAAATACACTTTTCCAGAACTTATCCAGACTTGTCTGAATTTCTCCAGACCTTATCCAGCCTTTTTCCGACGTTTCCAGAAATTTCCAGGCTTTTCCAGACTTTATCCAGACTTGGGTAGATTTTTCCAGACTTTATCCAGACTTGTCTAGATTTCTCCAGACCTAATAGAGCCTTTTCCAGACGTTTCCAGAAATTTTCTGGCTTTTCCAGACTTTATCCAAACTTATCCAAACTTTTCCAGACTTAGCTAAACTTTATCCAGCCTTATCCAGACTTTATGCAGACTTGTCTAGATTTCTCCCGACCTTATCCAGCCCTTTCCTGACCTCTCCGGACTTCTTCCAAACACTTACCCTACTTCAATTATGTATAAGTAATTGCCTATCTATGAGTCGGCACTTAATGTATGCAAAAGCGGTAACAACCTTGAACTAACATAAACATATCGATTTTATATTCCGATTGCCTTATTTGCATAATTAAAGCGGTGACAACCTTGAACTAACATCTCGATTTTATAGTCAGATACAAGTTCTTTTGAAGCTTTGCTAGCTGCAACGATCTCCGCTTTGGTTGTAGAAATGTTAACTGAAAGTTGTCTCTGACTCATCCAGGATATAGTACCTCCAGCATAAACACATACCACTCCTGGGACTCTATTCTCGAAAGCGAGGAAAAGCGTTTTTAAGAGAACGATTGCTCTGT